GAGGCGCCCCAAGGGATTTGGGAGCCTGGTGCCACATCTACTATAGGCTCACCGCTCGCTGGTGGCGGACGTCTCTCACCTGGTGTCCGCAGGTCTCTCCACCCTCTGGGGAGCCCACCAGCAGTCCTAGATGCAGGGGAGGGGAAAGGTGACTTATCCACCTACCCTTCCCGCTGGTCTCCGGGCTGCTCCGGGGGTCTCAGCTTCCAGTTCTCCTCCGCAGCCTCCTCCCGTGGAGTCTCCCGGGGTCTCAGGTACCCCTCCTTCTGGCCCTCATCCACCGTATTCTCGTCTTCTTGCTTCTTTTTTCTATTTTCTGCTAGAATCTGTCTTTTCTGCAGAGACACTATGTCTAGTGGTGTTTCTTGTTCGCCATCTTGATCCTCCCCCTCATGACTTTTATTTTGATTATTTGTTTTCTTTATAACTTCTAAACTATCCAGACACTGCACCAAGAAAAATCTGGAAATGCACTTACCAATATCAAATTGGTAAAATTTTGAGAGCATGTGGCTTCTCTCAGAATAGATTTTAGGTATAAGCTGGATCGGAAATGTGTTCAACAGGGTTAAAGTTATTGTAAATGTATGTATATGTATACTAAGTAGATGCTGTTGTTTATAGAAGTATTTCCTCATTCATTGTATTATTAAAGTTTGGTAAGGAAAATGAGATTCTCATATATCTCTTAATATGTTAGCTAATTTATATCATATTCAGAGTAAATTAACTAGTATAATAAAATAACAATTTATAACTATTCAATTATCAATTTCACTTTATTAATATGTTTGAGTAAATGAAACTAATCAAAATTTTTGATGCTGTATGGTCCATTCGTAACTGTGCAACAACTTCAGTGGTTTAGAAATAGATGTTTTATCTACACAAATAGATGTTTTATTATTTTATCTACACAAATACTAGGGTTAAAATACCAAATAGTGAATTATTCATTCATAATTGTGAAAATAACTAGAAGCTACAATAATTAAATAAGTTAATCTATGTATTGCCTTTGGAGCTCATGTTAAATGTACAGTAAATGTTCACTAATATTTTTACTAGCAATATTACTATGACTTTAATATAGTCATAGAACTCACTTTACAGAAATGGCTCAACTAACTTAAACTCAACTAAAGTGACCTCAAATCCTCAATCAATTTAGTTTGAAAATAATGTATTGGGTTGAGTATATAGTTTAAATAGAGAATATTATGAGTAGGAAGAAAATTTAGAATGTTAATCCATAAGCCTAAAGCAAAAATGATGAAAAGCTGAAGTATGGAAGAGGAAGTTATGTAAAATGGAGAAGTGGAAATGAAGAAATCTCTGGGAAGAAACCCCATGAGATGTGGTGGCTGGGGTAAGAGAAGAGAGGGAGGAGGAGAGAGAAGGAGGGCTCAGGTTTCCTGCTTGCTCTAATGCTGATGATTTCAAAGGAATATGAGGAGGACACAGGCCTTGCTGGAAAGACAAGGACTTAAGTTTAGAATATGCTCAAGGTCAGTTTTTAAAGTGGAATTGGAAGATCTGTGGGTCACCCAAAACAAAATGTCCAACAGACAATTAGGGACTCAATTCAAAATTTCAGATAAGATAGCATTGTTTACATTTACTTTCATATAATTTAAACCAGTATCTGTGTATTATTTGTGCTCCAAATTTTTCATTTAAGAAATTCTGTGTCACTTTTGCCTTTTTCACCTTGTCCACATAGTAATTAAATGTCTCAATGGTGAGAATTTCATCATGTCAACATGCCATACATTGCTTCCTCACTAACTATTGTTGTTCATTTGAATTCCATCATAGAAACATAAAAACTCTACACTAAGAAAAATTCTGTAGAGGGTTCAGTTCCACCTTTTTAAAAAATAAGAAAAGTAATTCCAGTTGTGGGTAAGAAAGTTATCCAAAGTGGCTGAGATCAATGAAGTCAGATGATTTAGCACAGGGTTTTTTTCCGCACTCTCTGACACTTCTGACTGTGTCATCAGTTAAACTGAACCATTTTTACAAGCAAGAATTAGGTCTATACTTCACAGCACCTAATAGCATGTCTCTATCTCTCTCTCTCTGTAAATATATATATATATATATATATATATATATATAGTGTTAAAATAGATTGTTATTAAACAAATATTGGTTGTTTTTAGTCCAAAGTAAATTGTATAACATTCATATGCCAAATAGTATCTAGAACAAAAGAAAGAAGTAGACAAACACAAGTAATATTTGCCAATACAAGATTCATTTAAGGACATCCTAAGCAAAAGGATAAGTTTGTTGTAAATACTGTGTCAGTCTTACAGGTTATTTAAATCTATTCCAATTGCTTACAAATATATTACATATGAGAAAAAATGAGCTTCCTGAAAAAATTTTAACAGTGGAAACCCTTTTTCTATTTTGCTATCACAAAAGCCCTGCTATGAATATTAGTGAATAAAATGCATATGTTACATATAATGCCTAGATTTTGCCTAGGTCATCAGGTACTTTTTATTATTTTATATCACTTTCCATGGTTATAATTTTGAAGGTAAAAATAGAAACTCAGAAGGAATAGTCCTCTCTGCATCTCATTACACAATGAGGGAATGTTAGGACATTCTGTAACAGCTACATGGGGGCAGCAAGATTGGACATGCTCCCATAATGCTCAGACTCTTCCTTTTAATTATAATGACCTGGTAGATGAAATTGTCTAAGTCATAAAATGTTCAATAAATGTTATTTTATTGAATATATATTATTATTTGTCTATTGCCATATTTTCCCCTATTCTGCTAATGTGAGTTGTGTAAAAGCACACACACTCCTTGTCTTAAATCTGAAATTTATTCAAAACTTTTAAATGTATATCTTATATCTTTCCTTCCCTTAATTAGAAAAACTTACTTTTAACATTATGAAATTTATTTGGTATGAGATGCAGATATAAATTAACTTTCCCTTATATTGATATATAAATGTCCCTAAAGCAAAAATAATGTTTTTCTTGGTTAAATAACTTCTATTTTGTTGTATTATTATATTCTTATATCATGTTTTCTGTGTTATACATGGGGCAGAATATTGATGAATGCTACTTATCACTATTTTAAAATCTGATACAGTGATTGATACACTTCAATATGAATATTTTACCTTTAATGATGATGGTTAGTAAAATTTCTGTCAACCAAGATGAAATTCTTTGTTGGAGATTCAAAAATGTTTTTTCATTGTGATTACAGTGTTTCTCCATGTGTGGCAGAGAAAGATAAAGAGATACCAAGAGAGAGAATGCTTTTTAGCTTGTTTGTTTAGTGATAAAGATTTCTAGCATTTCTAAAAGATTGCAATGTTAATTTAAATTCTATAATAACTTTTTTCCAAAATATCTCAAGGACATTTTTTCCACAGGTCTCATAAATAATTGAAGAGCAGAAAGTAAACTTCATAAATTTATAAAAAGAAGTACAACTACCACAGATTTTAAATCAGAAAGAACATGAACTCATAGAGAATAACAGAGTAAGGCTAAGATTTTGTGACATTAAGAAATTTGATATGATAAAGAATTTCTGACACTATTAGAATAACTATTTTCTGGTTACTAAACTATATTGTTATAACTTTAGGAATAATATTCTGCAGGGAATACGTTCTTATCATACACAAAGGCATGAAGACTGATATGCCACTAATGAAAATGTGTTTTATATAAAACACCTGGACAAATGGGACCATAAGAAATTTGTTATCTCAGAAAAACACGCAAGTGGAAGAATATGAAACTAGCGAAAAGCTAGGAAAATACCAGCATCTTTAAGGATAAGAGTTGATAAACTACGTCTATTTTTAATTAGGCCTGTATTAATAATGAAAGAGTTACCCAGTCTCTTTTATTGACCAATAAGGTTTGGAAACCTTAACGGAAAAAAACCGACCTGCAAAACCATATTTATGAAATTTTCCCATTGCTAAGGAAACTGAAAGATGGGCAAAAACCAAAACAGCACTGCAGATGCTTGTAGCTGAATGTATTTATTTCAATTGCTGATTGTCAATAAGACAAAAACACCTAAAGCCATTTGCAACAGGGGTGCAGGCATGCTGACGGCTTCCCCCGCGTGGAGAACGCAGCGGGCAGGCGGCACAGCCAGCTCCATTGTGTAACCACCGCTGCGATTTCAGTCCAGTCTACTCAGATCTGCCTGCACATGGCCTCTCTTATTACCAGTATGAACTGAATAATCGAACAACACAACAAGAATTCTCTTTTTCATCAAATTATGGCAGGCAGTTTTTTAAAACAGTCACCATATATAACAACTATCAGAGGGTTACAGCTATACAACCAGACTGATGATAAAATGTAAAAAGCAGTGACAATGATGTTGGCCAAATATAAATGCCTCCAAACACTGAGATAGTTGTTCTCATGTGACAAAACTTACGTGGAAGTTTAAATTATTGATTTTTAATTTTAATCTAGCAGCAAACATATCAAGCCAGAGTAACTAATACATGTTGAATTCCATATTATGCTTCTATCTCCAGCTCCACATTTTTGCTGTAAATATATATCTTACATTCTATAATTTTCAATCTCTAAGAAAATATGATTTACATTTACAAATATTTCTGTTCTTTTTTGGCATTATTATTTTTTATTTCATACCATTAACACACTTTATATTTAAAAGCTTAGATTTCAAAAAAGAATAAAATAGCTTTGATTTAATGTTAAATAAAAAGAAAGAGTGCGTAAGGGAACCTGAGCAGTGAGGTGAGTCGTCAGGATGAGGAGCAGAACCTGTCTGAAGATGGCTATTTGCATGTTGTAAATGGGGCTCTGAACACCTACCAGTGACTGTCAGAAACATGCTGGCCACAACAAGGCCGAATGGATTCCAAGCCACACATTCCTACTTTCCTTGGTCAGCTTGCCCTATGTCCTAGACGGCCATCGTGCCTTCTTCATCAGCATGGAATTTACCGCTCTCATTGATCTGCACACCTTCCTAGAAAGTGAAAGAGTTGTCACTGTTTACAGCATGGTTCCTTAATAATAAAATGTTAATATTCCTCCATGTAGCTTCATTTGTTCAGCAGACGTCTACTGGGTGGCTCTGGGTGTCCGCACCTGAGGAGATGGTGTACGAACCTACTATAGTGAAAGGAGGAAGGGAGAGAAAGAGTTCCCAGGAAGTACGGCTTGTCTCTCCCTCTAATTAAATCTGATATCCAAAAGTCCAACCACGTAATTGTTTAATATAATGATTATTTTAAAATTGTCACTCCAATGAATAGATGTACACAATTTATTCATATCCTGCTTACTTCTAAAAGACAATTCTGACAACAGTAAAAACAAAATTTAACAAGGAGAAAATGTTCACAAATCCAGCATCTTAAAACCTCAAAATGTTTTTGTATTTATCACTTCCTGTCTATTCTTCTTTGTATGTAGTCACATTTTGTATAGCTACCCTGATATATATATATAATATATATGATATATATAACATATGTAATATATATCAGTGTTTCCCAATTAAAATATACTTTAAAAGGATAAAAATAAATTTTATATGAACTATTACTAAAAGGCATTCACTTATAATTAGTGTAGATTTATGTGCATTGTCATTATTGTAGTGTTAATTGTAAGAAATAAAAGAAATTGGCCTTATGGAATTGCAGTTGGAGTAGAGAGCCTCTGTCTTGCCCCTCCCCAGAAGACTCACCGGAGACCGGGTGGGAGATACGTTTCCAAAAGGCCTCGGACTCCAGTGATGGCTGATAGGGCAGAATGTGACCATAGAGGTCTAGAGTGAAGAAAGTGCTTCACAGATCTTCAGATGCTCACAGCTGCCCTTAGCCAGTGCTAGTGAGCACGTCCCAGGTGATGGGTCTCTGGCAACTCAGGGGAGGGGATGAGAGCAAGAGGCAGGTCCCTCCCGGATGAGGCAGCAGATGCAAGAGTCATGGAAGAGGCAGCCTAGAGCACAGGCACAGGGCCCAGGGGTCTTTCCTTCTGAACAACCCCTTGGATCTTCTTTCCAAAGTTGCTCCCTTCCCCTCCCTTCTCATCACTTCCTGCCAGAACTTTTGGACTCAATGAATAGCTCTGTCATTTTTGTTCAGGGTCTCTGAGCAATCAGATAGCTTTCCAATTAATTGCTTAATTGAGTATGTTAGGTAGTTTCTATTGCTTGTAGCAAAAGCATCCCAACTTGTTGGGAGCTGTCCCGAACACGGGAGAGTTAAAGTGTGGTTGCTGCCCGGAACACTGGGGTCCTTGAGACACAGCACCTGGCGCCTTAACTCATAGCTCTGACATTCTTGGCCTTTCTTCTAGCTCACAGAGGGTGCTGGAGATAACAGTAGTAGTTATGGAAGGTCACTGAAGTAATCCTGTGCACACAGCCCTCGTAGCTTATAGCCCCCCCTAGGCCCTGCACACTCCTTTCTCAGAATTGTTAATTACGCTTGGGTGCTCTTTCCTTGAACTGTCTGAGTGATCATAGTTGAGTATTTGTAGCTTTTTTGATATCAGAAAAAAGTTAAGTTGTAGATTAGAAAACTGCATAAGCGAGGAAAAGGACTATCAAAGTGACGTAAGGTTGAAAAAAACAAGAACTGTTTTGTTTTCTGGTTTAATGAAGACAGGCACCACCTGTTCCAATGCATTTTGCTTCTCCTTTGTTCTTATCTGTATAAATACAGCAACTGAAATAAACGAGGTGCGGCAGTCAGCAAGGACTCCGTCCTCCCGTCCCCATCTTTTTGTTGTCTCTTCATTTCTCAGCCTCGCCCCCTAACTCCAGGTGCCGCACGTCGCCGGCTGGCTCCGGCACCAACTCATACCTGTTCCATACTTGTGAAATGAAGAGGATAGTCAGCAATCAATTCATTTATTTGTGATTAGAAGCAATCTTTTAGAAAGTAGATGCTGAGATATTTTTCTGGTATGATTATATGATGAAGCATTTAGTAGAATGTCAAATAAGGCTTTAGATACTGACCAAAATATATATTTTTCACACTTCCTATTTTAGAATAAAAATATTCTTAATAAAATATATAATATAAAATTAAAAATTTATAATTGAAATGTTCCTAATAGAAAGAAATGATAAATGCTTCAGGCAATGGATACCCCAATTACCCTAATTTGATAATTATACGTTGCATGCCTGTATCAAAACATCACATGTACCCTAGAAATATATACAACTGTTATGTATCCATAAAAATTAAAAATAATTTTTTTAAAAAGAGTTATAAAAAATATTGAGACCAGGTTGCAGGACATGGGCTGAAAGGCTCAAGTGTGAGCCCACTGCATTTACTCTTTCTGGAGACCTGTGTGTGCTGCTTGGCTACAGCATGAACAAAGTGAGCCCCTAACAGGACAAGGCCCTAGAGGTTTTAAAAATGGCTTTGTAAACTTTCACAAATTTGACATTTTGTCAAAATTTTCCCAAAACTGCCATTCAAGTGTATGCAGATTAGTTGATTTTTAAGAACCATGGAATCTGAGGCTAATCATTTTGATGAAAAACTTAAAATGGAAGAAGCAATTATAGTGAAAGAATATGGTGCAAAGAACCAAAGGAAGTAAGATATATAAATAAAAAAGCTATTTTTTTAAAGCCATTTAAGTTTTGAACCTTTAGAAGTACTTTTTTCACATGGTCCTTTAACACTACACTTTTCATTCTTTTCTTTTCTCAACTAATGACCTACTTTTAACCCAATTCTGAGTTATTGACTTAGAATGGTTTGTCACTAACCACTAAATTCTTCATTAATATGTATGCAATTTTCCTTAGAGGAATTTAGTTATGCTACGAAGTTTTTATCACCAAGCAAATAAGAAGGGATAAACTTTAGCAAAGCCCTGAGCCAAAATCAGATAAAGTCACTAAAGAAAAAAAAAAAAAAAGCAGAAGCAGGAAATAAACCTGCTGTAGCATAAAAAAGTATTACTTGCTAGCAAAAATCACAATAGCAATAAATCAATATAAGAATCATTACCTCTGTTTCAGTGGATCAATGCATCTGTCAGTGCTTGTAATATTACTGTTCTTTTAGTTGAGACCTTACCTTATTCCAAGTAATTATGGGCTGTGGTTCTCCTTGAGCATGACACAAGATGTTTATATTCTTCCCAACCTTGACACTTGCATCCTGAGGATGTTGAATAAACACTGGAAGAACTGTGAAAACAAACCCAAATCACACAGTGTCAGTATCACTTTTGTCACTATGTGCCAGCCAAGTCAAACAGTATGAATCTGAATCCCATATTGGTTAGCCACACTAATTTTTGAAAAAATCAATTACTTGGACATCTGGGAAAGGAATAAGCATCCAACCCAGGTTGGCAGTAACTTCAGCAGACGGGAGTGCAGGAATAAAGGAAGAGGAATGCAAGCAAGCATAAACCACATTTGTGATATGTATTTCTTCAGCTGAGTACTGGGTACAGGATTCTCATTATTCTTTCCCAATATCTTTTGGTAAGTATTAAATAGGGCTACATGGTAACATGAAAATTTATTTGTGGCTGAGATAAAAAGATCCAGTGCTTCAGTGAGAATCTTATTTCCTCAAAAAACACATCTACTAAAACTCACCTACTATGAAATTGATAATGGAATAAGGAAACTGCAATTCATAATCTTTAAAACTCCCCAAAAAGAAATCTCCAGGAAAGAATTAAAATCATTTTACTGGAGAATTAGACCCAATGTTTAAAAAAATTAACACCAATTCTATATAATATTTTCCATAAAATAGAAGAAGAGGACTATTTTTTGACTCTTTTTAAGAGACTAACCCTAATTTCTAAACCAGCTAAAGACAGAACCAAAAGGAAAATTTAAAAAACTTCAGTCTAATACTTCTGATAAATAGATACACAAAAAGTATTAACAAAGTATTGGCAAATAAAACAATAGATATTGGTGTGGATGTGGAGAAATTGGAACACTCCTGCACTGCTGGTGGGACTGCAAACTAGTCCAATCTCTGTGGAAAGCAATATGGAGATATCTTAAAGCGATACAAGTAGATCTGCCATTTGATCCAGCAGTCCCATTACTGGGCATTTAGCCAAAAGATCAAATGACACTCTACAAAAAAGACACCTGCACTCGAATGTTTACAGCAGCACAATACACAATTGCAAAGCTGTGGAAACAACCCAAGTGCCCATCAATTCATGAGTGGATTAATAAAATGTGATATATGTATACCATGGAGTACTATTCAGCTCTAAGAAACAATGGTGATATAGCACCTCTTATATTTTCCTGGTAGAGCTGGAACCCATACTACTAAGTGAAGTATCCCAAGAATGGAAAAACAAGCACCACATATACTCACTAGCAAACTGGTATTAATGGAACAGTACCTAAGTGGACACATAGGAACTACATTAATTGGGTATTGGGCGGGTGGGAGGGGGTAGAAGGGGGCGGGTATATACATATATAATGAGTGAGATGTGCACCATCTGGGGGATGGTCACACTTGAAGCTCAGACTTATGAGGGGAGGGGGAAAAGGGCATTATTTGAAACCTTAAAATTTGTACCCCCATAATATGCTGAAATAAAATAAAGTATTGGCAAATAGAATTTATCTGTATAAAAAAGTTTATACACCATGATCAAATAAGGCATATTCCTGGGATACAAAACTGGTTTAATATTTGAAAAATCAATCAATATTAATTGCTAAAGAAGAAAAGTCACATAATAATATCAGCCAATGCATAAAAAGTGTTTGACTATATTTAACACTAACTTAGGATATAAAAAACTCTTATAAAAATAGGAATAAAGAACTTATAAAACTTGAAAAATAACATATACAAAAACCTACAGTAAACAAAAAGTCAATGCTTTTCTCAGATAAGAAATAAGGCACGGATGTCTGCTATCTCCATTCTTATTCAACACAGAACTGGATGTTCTATTCAGTGTACTATGGCAAGAAAAGGACACAGAAGGCAAACAGATCAGAAAAGAAAAAATAAAACTGTCCTTATTTGCAGATGATATCATTGTCTACTTAGAAATTCCTAAGCAATCTCAAAAATACTCCAAGGTGAGTTCAGCAAGCTCACTGGATACAAGATAAATGTACAATATACAAAAATATGTTGTATTTTTTATGTTCAATCAATGAACACATGGAGACAGAAATTTTATACCATTACCATTTATAATTTCTCAAAAACATGAGATATTTAGGCATAAATCTAATAAAACATCTACAGTACTCATATGCTAAAAACGATAAAATACTAATGTAATAAATCAAAGATGATCTAAATGAATAGACATATTTATGAATTGGAAGTCTCAAGATAGGAAGGATGTCATTTCTTCACACATTGATATACGAGTTTAATGCAATTCCTGTTAAAATTACAGCAAGATTTTTCATAAATATAGACATGGTTATTTTACAATTTATATGGAAATTCAAAGGAACTGGAATAGCTATACAATTTTGGCAATGGAATGAAGATAGAACAATCAGTCTACTGGATTTTAAGACTGATGATAGAGCTTTAGTCACTAAGACTGTATGATATTGAGGAAGGAGTAGACAGAGACACATATATCAATGAAACAGAGTAGATAATCCAATATAGACCGGCACAGATACACTCAATTGATCTTGACAGAGGTTTAAGAGCAATTCAATGGAGGCATTTCAAACAATGGTACTGGGACAATTACATAATCATAGGCAGAAAAATGAACCTTGACCTGAGTCTCATACTTTATGAAAATTAATTCAAAATGGATAACAAGCTTAAATATGAAATGTAAAATTATGAAACTTTTAGAACAAAAGAAAATCTTTGGAATCTAAGGCCAAAATTCTTTGACTTTGTATAAAAAGCACAATCTATCAAAGAAAAAAATGGATGATAAACTGAACTTCATAAAATTAAAAATTCTGTGCTGTGAAAGACAATTTTGAGATCATAAAAAGGCAAGTTATAGACTGAGAGAAAATATTTGCAAATCACATATGCAAAAAGGATTAGTGTCTAAAATATATAAAGAATACTAAAACTTCAACAGCAAAAGCCATGAAAACAAACAGTTCAAATGGAAAATGGACAAAAGTCATGACACTGTACTGAAGAGGACATACAGATGGAAAATCAGCATATGAAAAGGTGCCCAATATCACTAGTCATTAGTGAAAAGCAAATTAAAACCACAATGAGATATAGATGTAGAGAAACTGTATTACTCTTACATTGGTGATAGGAGTGAAAAATGGTACAGCTACTATAGAAAAGACTTCGGAAAATTCCTTAAAAAATAAACACACAACTACCACACAAACCAGCAACTGCCTTCTTGGGCATTTATCCCAGAGAAATTAAAACATGTTCAAACAAAAATCTGTACGTGAATATTTATAGCAGCTTTACTAAAGACAGCCAAAAATTTGAAACAACCCAGATGTCCTTCAACAAAGCGAATGATTATACAAACTGTGATACAGCCATACAATGAAATACTACTCAGCAGTAAAAAGAATAAACCATTATACGCAGGGAACCTGAGTGAATCTCCAGATAATTACACTGACTGAAAAAGCCAATCCCAAAAGATTACATGTTATATGATTCTATTCAAATAACATTCTTTAAAAAAAATATTTTTTATTTCAGCATATTAAGGGGTTACAAATGTTTCAGTTCCATATGCTGCCTTTGCCCCACCCAAGTCAGAGCTTCAAGGTGTCCATCCCCCAGACAGTGTGCACCGTACCCATTAGGTGTGTGTATACCCTTGCCCTCCGCCCCCCTCCCATCTGCCTGACACCTGATGAATGTTATTACTATGTACACTTAAATGTTGATCAGTTAATACCAATTTGGTGGTTAGTACATGCGGTGATTATTTTTCCATTCTCGGGATACTTCACTTAGTAGAATGGGCTCAAGCTCTTTCCCGAATAGAAGCGGTGCTAGATAACCATTGTTTTTTGTGGCTGAGTAGAACCCCAAAGTATACATATACCACATTTTCTTAAGCCACTCATGTATTGATGGGCACTTGGGGTGTTTCTACATCTTTGCAATTGTGAATTGTGCTGCTATAAATATTTGGGTGCAGATTTTTTTTTTATACAATGTCTTATGTTCTTTTGGATAGATGCCCAATAATGTGATCACTGGATCAAATAGTAGCTCCACTTGTAGCTCTCTGAGGTATCTCCATACTGCTATCCACACAGGGTATACTAGTTTGCAGTCCCACCAGCAGTGTAGGGGTATTCTTATCTCTCTGCATCCATGCCAACATTTATTGTTTTGGAACTTTTTGATAAAGGCCATTCTCACTGGAGTTAAGTGATACCTCATTGTGGTTTTGATTTGCATTTCCCTGATGATTAGAGATGCTGAGCATTTTTTCATATGTTTCTTGGCCATTAGTCTATCTTCTTTTGAAAAGTTTCTGTTCATGTCCTTTGCCCACTTTTTGATAGGGTTGTTTGATTTTTTCTTGCTGATTTTCCTGAGTTCTGTACGTATTCTAGTTATCAGCCCTTTATCCAATGCATAATGTGCAAATATTTTCTCCCATTCTGTAGATTGTTTGCTCTCATGATAGTTTCCTTGGCTGTGCAGAACCTTTTAAATTTGATCAGGTCCCATTTACTTTTGTTGTTGTTGTGATTGCCTTTGGGGTGTTTTTCATACATTCGTGCCCAGGCCAATGTCTATAAGAGTTTTTCCAACATTTTCTTCTAGAATTCTAATAATTTCTGTTATCCACCATGAGTTGAATTTTGTGAGTGGTGAAAGGTGTGGATCCTGTTTCAGTCTTCTACATGTGGCTATCCAATTTTCCCAGAACCATTTATTGAATAAGGATTCTTTTCCTAGTGTATATTTTTGTCTGCTTTGTCAAAGATCAGATGGCTATATGAGGATGGTTTTATATCTGGGTTCTCAGTTCTGTTCCATTGGTCTATATCTCTGTCCTTGTGCCAATATCATGCTGTTTTACTTACTATATAGCCTTGTAGCATAGCTTGAAGTCTGGTAAGTTGATGCCTCCCAAGTTGGCTTTTTTTTTTTTTTTTTTTTTTTTTTTTTGAGACATTTTCTGGTTACATACAAAGCAAAAATTATTTTTGTTAGATATGAAAAAAGTGACATTGCTATTTTGATG